GTCTGTCCATCCATCCATCCATCCCTCCCTCCCTCCATCCCTCCATCCATCCCTCCATCCATCCATCCATCCATCCATCCGTCTGTCCATCCATCCATCCATCCCTCCCTCCCTCCATCCATCCCTCCGTCCATCCATGCATCCATCCATCCATCCATGCATCCATCCATCCCTCCCTCCCTCCATCCCTCCATCCATCCCTCCGTCCATCCATGCATCCATCTGTCTGTCCATCCATCCATCCCTCCGTCCATCCGCCCCCACTCCTCTAAGTTCTGCTTCATGCCAGGCCCTGGGGTGGTACTGGGGGTGCAGAGGCCTAGGGCCCAGTCCCAGCCCAGAAGGTCAGAGCACAGCAGAGATGGAGCCTGTGGGAGGGGTTTGGGTCCAGGAATTGGCTCTGAACCAGGGGCGCAAAGTGGGCCTGAAGAGCAGGCAGCATGGGGGTGCTGCAGCGGTCTCTCCATGGTGGGCAGCTGGGAGCACTGGTTTCCTATCTGGCAGAAACAGACTTCTTTCTTGAAAGGCAGCATCCACAACTCTGCAAACCCCAGACCTTGGGGTGGGGTGCCAGGCCTCCCAGCTGCCTCCTCTGACATAGCTTTTGCCAGACAGCCCACCTTGTACACAATCCCAGTTTGGGGCTCAGAATAGGTGGCTGCACCTCCCCTGGGCTACCTGGGCCCCCAGAGACACCTGATGCCACGCCCCTGGGTGGCCCTCGGCCCTTCTGTTCTAAAAATGGGGCTGTCATGGCAGGGGCTGTGTGAGTTAGCAGGATCCCAGCTCCCATGTCGGAGAATGGGGAATAAAGGCCTGAGCAGGGCTGGGGTCACAGGCAGGTCCTGAGCCAGGAACTTGGGCACACGCCTGGGCTGGGCAGGATGCAACACACCAGGTGGACCTCAGGGATTTTCCCCAGGCTGAGGAGACTATGAGAGCCCCCACCCAACTCCCAGCCCCACAGCCCAGACCCCACTGAGATGTCAGCGCAAGACACCAGCATGTCCCCAACAGGCAGAGGCATGGGTGGGGAGCCTCAGCCCCACCCACCTTCTTTCTGCCGGAGGCCTAAAGCCACCCACTGCTTGGACTTTTCCATTTCAGGTTCTCAAGGGGAGGGGGCAGTAGCTCCCAATGGCCACCCCAGCCCTTCGTCCCCAGGTGCTCTGACCTTATCCCCACAGGCCTCTATAAGTGACAAAACAGCTGATCTTGCTCCTGCAGCCTCCAGCCTCAGCGACCCACCTATGACAGTGACAAGAGCCCCCAGGCCTTAGGACATGCCCCACCCAGCACTTCCCAGGTGGCTGGCAGCGCCTGCCCTGGGTTCAACTAGCCAGGGCGGCAGGGCAGCACCAGGGCTGGCTGAAGCTTCAGGAGAGTTTGAAATTTCCTTTCTCTAAAATAAAACATACAAAAGATAAGGCAGAGCCCTGCATGGCCATCGCCTCCGGCAGCATGGGGCCACAGCTCTGTCCCCAGGCCATAGTCTCCTTGAGAAGCCCCTCCCTCAGGGGCCCGCCTGGGGCTACTGGACCCTTGGGCTGCACTCACCGCTACTGGGGGACAGCGAGGTGGGAACAGCACAGCCCCCCAGGAGGTCAACATGAGCCCCAAGACCCCTGAAGCGGTGAGGGCCCCAGCTGAAGATGGAGGGCACCTCAGCTCTGAACTCGTGCCGGGCAAACCCCCACCCCTCCCAGGAGCTGAGGCTGATGGAGTCCAGGGGTGGGGGCCAGGCTTGACTGGGAACCGCAGAGCCAGGCCTCACCACACAGGGCAGGGCACCTGGTGGTGACGGGTGGGCGGCACCTTTGTAAAAAGGGCTCTTGGGCAGACGGTCCCAGAGGATCCCCAGGTATCACCAAGTGGATAAACAAACGGGAACCTGGCCTCTACCACCCTCGGGAAGATGCTGAGCTTGGGGAATAGTTAGGGGTACAGTCTCAGGTGGGGCCTGAGGCCTGCTTATTCCAACAGTCATTAACATATGGAGGGTAGCTGCGAGGGGCAGGAGGTGAGGGGCCCAGAAGGGGTGTCCGAGGGAGTGAGGGGAGTTTGGAGAGCCGCCTGGGGAGGCGTGACCTGTGTCAGGGGTCGGGTGGGCGGGGAGGCAGCTAGTGGTGGGACAGGCTGCTGAGCGTGTCCAGGGAAAACCCACTTTATTGATATTCAGAAGCATCCAAACAGGGGCAGGAAAGCCGCCCCCATGCCCAGCAGGGCTCCCTTCTCCACCCCGGGTTGCGGTCGGGGAATCGGGTGGGTTGGTTCTGGATGGGCCCCAGCTCTGCTGTCCTCAGCAGGCCCAGAACACAGTGCAGGACGGGCAGAGGGGGTCGGAGGCCCACCCTGCAGCCCACCTGGGCGACCATGGCACCTAGAGCGAGAGGAGGGGCGGGCGAGTTGTGGCTCCCAAAGGGGCCTACGGAGCCAGGGGCCTCAGGTCCCAGCGTTCCCCGCCCAACCTCTGTCCCCCGCCAGAAGATCTTCAGACACATCCCGGGCTAACTACAGAGGCCGTCACGGCAGCCGACCCTCGGCCGGCATGGGGCATCCCACCCACTTCTCTAGGAACTGGGGTTCACACGTTCCCTTCCCATGCAGGCGCTTCCTCCAGGCCTGGGCCCCAGGTTGAGGCGCAAGCCGGCCCGCCCTGTTCCCCAAACGCCCCCAAAGCCGGCTTCCCTTGACCACTGAGGAAAATCAAGGCTGAGGGGAGCCGGCAGGTGTCAGTTAATACAGGAGGCAGCTCCATGTGGCCCCCAGGGCAAGGTGCTGAGAAGGACCTGCCGGAACCTCAGCGTCCAGGGAGGTAGTAAGGTTGATGGGCGCTGACGGTGTGGCGGGGCTGGGGGGCGGGGGAAGGACCAGCTGTCCCACCCCCTGGGAAGGGTCCCCATGGTTCCGGGCTGGCGGGGCCGCTTTGCAGGAGGGCTGGCTGCGTGGGCGCCGGGCACTCACCTGGCCTAGGACAGGAAGGTGCGGACGCGGCTTCGGACGGGCGCCCGGCAGATGGGGCACAGCTGCAGGCTGGGGGCGCACTCAGCACAGACCAGGTGGCCACAAGGCACAAAGACGATGGACACGGCGCGGTCCAGGCACACCTTGCAGGTCCTCTCCTCCTGCAGCCGCCGCAGCTGCTCCTCCATGTCCCCGGCCCCGGGGGGCTCCAGTACCCACCACGCCCGCCGGGCCTGGGTTGGACTGGTTCCTGCTAGGAGACAGACCTGCGAATGCCCCCTCGCCCCGGCCCCACCCTCTATGGGCCGTGGAAGGTGGGCGTCACCCAGCACCCCAGGTGCCATCGCCCCTCCCCCAACCCAGCCCCACCCTGGGGGATCCTGGACCTGTACCTGGCTCCTGGGCGCCTTCAGACTGGACTTCTCTTCCGGGCGTGGGCAGCTCTGGGTCCCCAGGGGCAGGGGCTGTGGACAGTTAGCATGGATTTGAGGCCTTGCTCCCAAGGGGAAGCCGGGCCGGCTCAGAGACAGATCCACAGCCTGTGGGGTCCAGTTCTGGCCGGGAGTGGAGGGCTTCAGAGCACCCCTGCTCCCACACCACTTCCCAGAGCAGAATCCAGAGGCTTCCTGGAGGGGCCGCCAGAGAGCCTGCCCTTGTCCAAGGCCGTCTGCACAACCAGCCCCTCTGGCAGTGGCTGCGGCCGCTGTGTGCTGGGCACTGTTGGGGGTGGCTTGGCGGGGGGTGGCGTGGCGGAGGAGGGAGTGGCAGGAGGCAATGGGCTGTGCCAAGGGGTGAGCTGGGGGGAAGCAGAGTTCGGGCCTGGCGTTGTCGGGAGGCCCCTGCTGCCCCATCCCCGTCCTCATGGCACAGCCCCCATGAGGTCTGCCCTGGCAGCACCTCACACCCAGTCACATGCCCATCACTGTCCTTGCTGCCCGGCAGGGTGGGGATGCCCAGTAGCCTTGGTGA